TACCAATTCAGTTCTTTCTTGGTCCAAACTAGTTTCTTTGCTTTTCAAAAATAGTATTAGCAGGCCAATCCAGGAATACCTTTAGCAGAGACTTCTACTTGATGCTTGGGGTGTTGAAATGCCCCATCAACATAATATCCAGTTTCTATGCCAGCTTTCTGATCTGTGTCAGGAGGTCATCACTCTTTTTCTGCCTGGGCATTCTGATAAAGTCTCATCACATCTCATTTCATCCTCTCGCCCAGATTCCCTCCAGCATACTTCCTCCTCAGAAGGTCCAAAACTGCGCTGTTTAAGAGGCAGCGGGATACAGAATTCAGATTTGACCCCAACCCTTAAATGACCGTGGCTTTTTTAACTTCAGAGCTTCAGTTTCCTCATCTTTAAATTGGAGATAATACCGTACCTACTTAATGAGTTTGTCATGAGGGTCAAATGAGATTATCTAAAAGTGTTTTCTGAACTTAAGTGCTATTTTATAAAAAAATTGCCATGGCTGAGGCCCTCCTTTCTTTCTTTAGTGTGTTGAAAACTATGAATTGAAAAACACATGATGAAGTAGTTTGAAATAACCATCAACAGAACTTCTTCAAAGTCTCAGACTTGTGCAGCTGCTGGAGTAAAACTATCACATCTCAAGCACCACAGAATATAAATGAATTTCAAATGAAATAACATAATACCTGCTGCAGGGCTTATAACAAAGTAGTAGCTGCCAAATCTGAGAGGGCCATGTAGAGATTGAGACCAATTTTTTTAATATTTTTAGAAAAAAAATAAAAAACGTCATTATAATTAAAGGTTAATTCTTTGGGGCAGCTAGGTGGCGCAGTGAATAGAGCTGTGGTCTTGGAGTCAGGAGGACCTGAGTTCAAATCCAGCCTCAGACACTTAACATTTACTAGCTGTGTGACCCTGGGCAAATCATTTAACCCCGATTGCCTAAGCGCACAGACACAGACACACACACACAAGTTAATTCTTTAAAACGCACATACTTTTGTGACACATGTTATAAAATAATCTCCTATTATCAGCTTTCAACATTTTTTGAAGACTCTTCCTTTTTTTTTTTTTTTTTTTTAAGTGAGGCAGTCGGGGTTAAGTGACTTGGCCAAGGTCACACAGCTAGTACGTGTCAAGTGTTTGGTCTGAGGCCGAATTTGAACTCAGGTCCTCCTGACTTCAGGGCTGGTGCTCTATCCGCTGCGCCACCCAGCTGCCCCCGTGGCTCTTCCATTTTTGTTGACATAGTAGGGAGCCACTGGATTTTATTGAATTTGAAAACCATTCTCTTGGCATTGTGGAGGACTGACTGAAGTGGTGAGAAACTCAAGGCAGAGAGATCAATTCAAAGAAAGTTTTTGCAATAATTTAGGTGAGAGGTGATGAAGGCATGAACATCATCGTAGGGTGTGGGGGCAGAAGTGGTAACATTGGAAAACTAGTTAAATGTGCAAAGCAAAGGAGACTTCAGAGTTGAAGATAATGCTTAGGTTACAAACCTGGGGAACTGGAAGAATAGTGGACCTTTTTACAGAAATGGAAAAGTTTGAAAGGAGCAGATAATGAGTTCTGTTTTGGACATATTGTGCTTGAGATGCCTATGGGACATCCCTTTTGAAATATCCAGTTGGCAGTCGGTAGTAGTGAATTGAATCTCTGGGACACACTGATGGGTATATTAATCTGTGAGTAATCTGCAAAGGGATGATAATTAGATCCATGGGATCTGATAGGGTCACAACGAGAAATAGCATAGAGAGAAGAATATGTAGATCAGAGCCTTGGGAAACACCTACAGTTAGAGACCAGTGGTATGGGTCATGAACCAACAGAGGAGACTGAGAAGGAGCTGTCACGGGGCAGGAGAACAGCGGAGAGTAAAGTGGATCCAGGAGACCAGGGACCAGCGGTGTCAAATGGAGCAGAGAGGTCCGAAGGCTGAAGACTCGGAAAAGACCATCAGATACAGCAGTTAAGATGGCTGGTAATATGAGAGCATCTTGTGTTGAGTAATAGGTTAGAAAGGTAAATGGAGGGTCAGTGAATGAGAGAAGAGGCAACAAGCATGAAGTTTTTTGGAGTTTGGCTGAGAAAGGGAAGAGAAAAATAGGGGAAGTTTTGAGGGAGAGATAGTATGTAGTTGGGTTTTTGTTTTGTTTGAGATAGAGAAGATTTGGGCATGTTTGAAGGCCATAGGAAAGGAGCCAGTAGATAAGCAAGGTTGAAGGTTAGAAAGGTAGGATAGTTGGGGTTGTAATCTGCTGGAGAATGGGAAGGGGTGACATCAAGAGCGCAGGTAGAGGAGTTGACTTTGGCCAGGAGGAAGGCCACTTCATTTTCAAAGACTAGGGAAAAGGAAAAGAATGGGTGATAATATTAAAGGTTTTTGAAAAACGGGGAGGGGGGCGGGGCTCAGGTTGAATGGACTCAGTTTTCTCTGTAAAGTATGAGGTCTTGAGGGCGAGACATTTGAGAATGAAGGTTTGGAATAGCTTCTGTGGAATACAGCGAATACATTTTTTGTTGTTCAGTCATTTCTGTCATGTCCAACTCTTTGTGACCCCATTTGGGGTTTTCTTGGCAGAGATACTGAATTGCCATTTCCTTCTCCAGCTCCCTTTACAGATGAGGAAGTGACTTGCCCAGGGTCACACAACTAGTAAGTGTCTGAGGCTGGATTTAAACTGAGAAAGATGACTCTTCCTGACTCCAAGCCTGTCACTCTGTACACTGTATCGCCTCGCTGCCCATAAGAGAATAAATTAGATGGGAATGAAAGGATTGCCTTGCTGCAGGGGAGAGCTCAGTCGAAGTTGGATCACCTGAAGAAGTTAGGCTATTTCCAAATTACTTGACATGCATCTAATTTGATTTTCATAAGAAGACTGTGTGTTTGGTAGTAAAATGTTGGTAGCTTCGTAAAGTTGAGGCCCTTAAAGCCAGAGACTTCACTGATTTGCCCAAGGTTACACAGCCAAGTCAGTGGGAGACCTGGGGTTTAGATCCAGATCATCTAATTCAGTGTCCAGTAAAAATTGTCTTCAGAATCAGAGTTAACAGGAGCATATTCTTTTGACATTCAGTTAGTCCAGTTGTATAATCTGAGTTGCATATGTGAATATGTAGCTTGAAACCCTGATTTAGTGTGTGTTTCTGAGTAGCCAGGTGCTGCTAGAGGAAATTACCCCAAAAAAGCAGTGTTTGAGCCCAGGGTAGACTTCTGTCAAACTTCTACTGGTCCCCCACTCTGCTGTTGCACAATACTTATATTCAACTTGTAATGATTCTCCTATTGTCCACAGAGGATATTGATAGATTATCATCTTTCTTTAAGCTCTTATCTTTCATTTCAGCAGAGATTTTGCCTTATATTATTGAGATGGAATCTGGTCCAAAATAAATTCTCTCAGTGCTCTTCAGTTTGTTTGTTTGTTTGTTTGTTTTGTTGTTGTTGTTGTTTTGCCTTCCCTTCAAATCTCGCATTGGATCAATTAGACCTTCTTGCCAAAGCTAACCGCTTACCTGTCCACTTTATTGTCTATCTCGTGACCTTTTCATTGCTCCTTCTTGACTGTTCAAAAAACACCCCATCTCTTGACCTCTCTCTCCCCCTCTCCTCCCTGCATTATTTCTCTCTCATCATTCACTCTTCGGACATCTACAGTTTGGCTTCTGTCACCACACTGCACTCAAATTGCTCTCCATATTTGCCAGAGATGGCTCTTCTCATCAAATCCCACTGACGTTCATACTTCCTGACTAGTCTACAGCGCCCAGCGCTGACCTCGACCTTCTTGATCCTCTGCTGAAAGGACCTGCAGTCTCTAAAGTAACATACAGTCTATATTGTGCTTTCATTTAGTTTTTGGAGGCATTATGACATTGTGGACAGAGAGCTGCCATCCAGTCAAGAAAGACCAGGTTGAAATCCCATCTCACACATATACTGGCTGTGTGATCCTGGCCCTTCAAGTAAACTCTAGGCAGCTCTGTGACTGTATATTAGAAAAGAAGATGCCTGCCTGCTTGGCTAAAGGGAGTTTTCTCAGCTGAGAGTTCTGTATATCAGGAAAATCCCGGGTCTAGATCCTTTTCTTTTTAGCTCTTTAATATGGGTGAGCACGGCTAAGTGGAGTTTCCTATGCTATGGTCTAGTCCTATTACCATTAACTACGTGCATACGTTTGGGCTGGGCTTGGAAGGCCTGGCTTCAAGCCTAACTCTGACACAGGCAAGCCATGTGACCCTTGGTTATGCTGAACCTCTAAGGGTCCTGGGGCAGAGAAGGGAACATTCTACTAATCTAGAAAAGGTTCCTTACCAGGAGCTCACTTTGGTAGGGTTTTTTGGTTTTTTAGATTTACTTATATACACGGTCTTTTCATTTATCTTGTTTCCACAATTTAAAAATACAATCACCAAGATCTGGGATTTGTCTTTTTCCTTTTTTGTGCCCTTATGATACTATACTAATAATAGGAAAGTAATAAATTTTCAGAGAATGCTTTTTTTTCTTTAAACATTTTGGTTAGTACAGAATATCAAGCTACCAAAAATATTCCCACCCTAGGTTATTTCCTAGAGTAGGGACTGTCTTTTGCCCTTTTTTGTATACCTAGCATTTAACAGTGCCTGGCACATAATGAGAGAATAATAATAATAGCTAAAAATTACTTAGCACTTACAGTGTACAAAGCACTGTGCTAAATACTTTACAACTATTATCTCATTTGATCCTCACAACAACCTTGGGAGTTAGGTGCTGTTGTTCCCATTTTACAGTTGAGAAACCTGAGGCAGACAGAGGTTAAGTGACTTGCCCTACATCACACAGCCAGGAACTGAGGCAGGATTTGAACCCAGGTCTTCAAGACTCTAGGCCTGGTGCTCTGTGCACTGTCTTCCCCTAGCTGCCTCAGTTTATTTACTAACATATAGCTGTGGTAATAGCACTAATTAGTTTTGCCTTTCTCGATGCTTTTCCTTCTGTATAGTTTGTGGAGAAGTTTCTGTCGGGGAGGAAGAAGGTGAAGGTGAAACTGGCTGGATTGAAGGAGCTGCCATCCTTTTGTCAGTAGTGTGTGTTGTGTTAGTGACGGCTTTCAATGACTGGAGTAAAGAGAAGCAGTTTCGAGGTCTGCAGAGTCGGATTGAGCAAGAACAGAAGTTCACAGTCATCAGAGGAGGACAGGTCATTCAGATCCCGGTAGCTGACATTACCGTTGGGGATATTGCTCAAGTGAAATACGGTGAGTGTCCTAGGAGAAGGAGTGTGTCAGCCCTGACCTTGGTCCTGATCGCATCTCCAGCACGCCCCTTCTTGTTTGATGTTCTAGGTGATCTTCTTCCAGCTGATGGTATACTTATTCAAGGAAATGATCTCAAAATTGATGAGAGCTCACTGACTGGAGAATCTGATCATGTTAAGAAGACGCTGGATAAAGATCCCTTGCTTTTATCAGGTCTGCATTCTTTATGAAGGCTATATAAATTAGAAATTGTAAGATGATAATGTTAAACTGTCATGATTTAAAAGGCAGTGTAGCCTAGTGAGTACAGAGTTGGCCACAGAATCAGGAAAACAGGAGTTCAAGTCACTGGATCTCAAGGCCCAGCACAGCTCTAAAGAATCCATCACAGAAGAGTTATTGATCAGCATTGGATAAGTATTTAATGAACGTTTACGGCTACTGTGGCCGACATTGAGGATACCAGTATGAAACACAAAACAATCGCTACTCTCAAAGGGTTGAGATAACATCCTACCCAGAGAAACCACATATATGTAGTAGGGTAGTTAAACAGGGAAATCCTAGCACTTGGACTGACGGGGTCAGCTTCAAGTGGAAGGTGGTGCATGCTTGAACCATGTCTTAAAGGAAGCATGAAAGATTCTGGATGCCTAGGAGACAGTCACTGCAAAGGCACCAAGGTGAAGGGTGGGGGGGGCTGTGTCTGAGGAACAGAGAGAAGGTAGAATGGGCTGAGGATGTGAGGAGGAATGTCCTACACTGATCATAGACCCAGTCCAGAAATAATTATTTTTAAAAAATTTTAACCTGTTTTAAATCTTTGTACTTTTCTCTTCATTTTTGGACATGTGTTTGAGTGTCTAAAAATGAATATCCAATTAAGCAAATTCAGCACTTATTTTAAGCCTATTCTGGGATTATGAAGACAAAAGACTAAGCAGTCTTTGCCTTAAGGAAGCTTAACATCAAATAGGACAGTTGAAACATAAAAATAAAGCTGATGCAGAAGAGAGATACAAAGTACTTTAGAAAATTAAATGAAGGTGAGATCTTTCAAGATGGTGGGATAAAGGAAGGTTTGCATGAATGAGATGGCATTTGAGTTGGGTGTTTGGGGGGAAAAAAGATAATTCAATAATCATTTATTAAATGCTGTATATCAGACCCCATACTAAGTGTGAGACCAGGTACCAAGACAACAATAAAAGTTCCTTCCCTCCCAGAACTTCTATCAGTATCTGCTGCAGAAGGATTTTCCACCTCAGCAGTGGAGCTGGTCCATTCCAGCTCTGGGGAGTGGCCTTTGTGCAAATAGTGAGGCTGTCTGTGGGGTGGGCTGATGAGCTGGCTTCAGCCAGGTTGGGCCTGTCCTAAATGCCCAGCTGAGTTCCTTGGTGTTCTCTTAGAGGCTTCAGTGCGGAGCCACAGCAGGCTTTTGAACAGGGAAATCAACATTATGGCGTTCAGGAGATTGATTATCGTGTAGTGTTTAGAATTGTAATGTGAGAGAGATGCTGAAGGTTTATGAATTTAGGAGGATTTTGTACTAGTTAAGTATAAGGAGGTTCTGAATTAGATCTTTGGCATCTCAATAGAATGTAGACTTCTTGAGAGAACAGATTGTTTCTTTTTCTTTTTTAATTTGTATCCCCAGAGCAGCCTCAGACAAAGCCTGATACTTAATGAGTGCTTGTTGCTTGGCTGAGTGTGGGTTGGGGAGGACTGAGGCCAGATTGCAAATGTCTGAGGAGTAGGGAGGGGGTGAAGAATTGGCAGCTTCTCTGTAAATTTGAGCAGTGAATGAGGGAGACTGATACAGGATGATAACTTGGTAGGGGGAGAAAGATCAATGGGGTGTTTTGTTTTATTTATTTATTTTTTACTTTGAGGAAGCACGTTTAGAGACTCAAGACAAGAGAAGGCAGCCAGCAGAAGGGAGAGGGATGGATCAACTGTATGAGCTTTTAGATAATTAATCAGAATGGGAGCCTTTGATCACAGATTTAGAGCTATCAAAGACCTCTCCACACATCAGGTCTACCACTCTCCCCATTCATTTTGCAGATGAAGAAAGTTGATATTAAGTGACTATTAATTTGAAAACAGTTTATTTCTTTGGAATCACTTTCCTAATATATATAGAGATAGATAATTTGTTGTATATGTATAACTTGTTCCACAGATATTGTTATACATGTATAACTTATTCCATAGATATTTACCAAGCATCTAGAATTGACAGTGCTACCTGGATCACACAAGCAATAAAAATTGCCAAGCTGTTTTGTACTCTATCATTTCTATTTATGCTTTTATACAAAGAGTATTATACCTACTATTAATTTGGTGTCTAACAAAAGTGAAGTTTAAGTAATTGGAAAACTATATCACCATTGAAATAAATGTCTAGTTTGAAAGTACTTTGAATAATTCACTTCTGTTTCATAAAAACTTTCTTAGGAATTGAGTGCCTACTTTTGAGAACTTTATCTTGATTACTCATCTGCGAAGATCTTTAGTAATTACATTTTCTTCATTTTTAGTAAAATGTTAGTTTAACAGTTCTTATTTAATAGCATCAAGTTTACAATGAAGAAACTAGGTTTTATGTTGTTGCAGGTACCCATGTGATGGAAGGCTCTGGAAGAATGGTAGTTACTGCTGTGGGTGTGAACTCCCAAACTGGAATTATTTTTACCTTACTTGGGGCTGGAGGTGAAGAAGAAGAAAAGAAAGATGAAAAGAAAAAAGAAAAGAAAAGTAAATGCAGTACTTTGATTCCTTTTAAAAAAAACTTTTTATATTTGAAAATGGTTGTGGGAGCTGGATTTATTTTTTAAATTGTTGTAGCAAACATGAAGAAAAAATTTGTTAAATTGCCTTTTTAGTATTTATGTTCCATAAAATGCACAATACTTTCTTTTGACTATGGAACTGAGGAAGGACCTATTAAACATTTTAATATGAAAGAGGTTTGGGGCAGGGGACGGGGAGAGTAAAGATCTTTTGACCAAAAACCGAGACCTACACCTCTCTCTAACCCTTAAGCCCATTCCTCCTTGTCTTCATCTGATTGTCCCCACAATCATCGCCTCTCTGTCTCTGTCTCTCTCTGTCTCTCTCTGTCTCTCTCTCTCTCTCTCTCTCTCTCTCTCTCTCTCTCTCTCTCTCTCCTTAATCTTTAGTCTTTCCCTGTTTACTGATTCCTTTCCTGTTACCCACAGGTCTCCCCAGCCCTTTAAAAAGCCTTCACTTGACCTTCTTCTCTACCCTCCCTTTACCCTCCTCCTTTCTACCCCACGTTGTTATCCTGTCTGGGCTCGCTTTTCGTTGCCAGTAAGCTGTCTGCTCTCGTTGCTTATACTCCCGTTCTCACTTCTTACCTACTACTTGCTGTTTGGCTTCAGACTTCATCATTCAGCTGTGAAACCGCTACTTCCAGAGTTACCAGTGATCTCCTGATTGCCAACTCTATTGGCTTTTTTCCAGTACTTATTTTTCTTGTCTTCTCTGCAATTTTTATTTATTTATTTATTTATTTATTTTTGCTGTTGACCACCCTATCTTTCTGAATCTCCTCTCCTCTCTTTGTTCTCATAACATTACTCTCTCTTTTCCTCCTATTTACCTGACTACTCCATAGTTGACTTTGCTAAATATTCAACCATGGAACAGTAAGATGACCAATTTGGTTGGACCATGTGGGAATGATAGTAGTAAAGGTCAAAGGGCGGATTGAGGTCAGGTCAGATCTCATAGGGCTTTCAGTTGCAAACAAGGGAACTTATATTTGATCCTTGAGATGACCAGGAGCCACTGAAGCTTGAATAGAGGAGTGACCTGTCAGGCCTCATGTTTTAAGAAAATAACTTGAGCACCCACTTGGAAGATGAATTGGGGAGAGACTTCAGTAAAAAGATTGCTGAAGGAAAGAGGAATGCATGAGCTCGTCCTAATTTGCATTACATTTTTTTTATCCTTTGATCCCTATTACCTTATTTTTTTTGGAATATTAATAAAAGACCTGGGTTTGAATTCTGGCTCTGTGCTACCTTAGACAAATCATTTAGCTTCTCAAGGTTGTGTTTTCTCATCTGTAAAATAAGATTAGACTACATAGTTTCTGAGATCCTTTTTATTCTTGGGGAAATCTCAGAGCTTCGGCCTGAACAGTGGCAGCTCAAATTCAGTGTGAAGCCAGTAATAATATTTCAAGAAATCAAAAATGAAAACTGCCCAAGGAAGGAAGGAACTATTGAAACATGCTATATAATACACAGAAGAGAACAGAAGTTATTTCCTAAGGAATCACATGCAAGCAGGGCAGTTTTGAAAGTAACAGGGAATTTTTCTGGTTTGTGTTGGTTTTTTTTGTTTTTTTGTTTTTTTAAGCAAGCTGTGGAATAAACAGTATCCTCTACAGTCTCTTAAATGCTCTTGTCTCTATTGAAATTATTATAGGTTCTTTTTGGTGTTAAATTTAGAATTTTTTTTTTAAGAAAGGAATCTTTCATTTAATTTTTTTTATCGGAATTGTTTAGCCATCTCTGGCTTACAACCTTACAATTGTTGTTAAGTTAGTATGTAATCAACTATGGCAGTAAAGTATTGGGTTTTTGTACCATTTAAAGTTATGGTAATTAAAATATAGATACAGTCAGCATAGGCTAGGTAAGTGGGAAGAGCACCAGGTTGGGATTTACGGATTCTGAGTTCTTTTCTTGACTGGGTGTTTGACTTCAGAAAAGACTGTGCACTTCTGGGCCCAAGTGTCTTGATCTATAGTTAGAACAATTTGAATTAGATGATTTCTAAGGTCCCTTCTAGCCCTTTCATAATAATCCATGTAATTAGACTTTTGGAAATACAAGTGTACGTACACTACAGATTATTTCTACAACATATGAAAGAAATAATGTAGAATGTCAAAAATTTGTAGAGTGTAAGGAATTATAGATAACCAAATATTATGTTCAAATATTACATTTTCATTATTCAAATCTAGAGAATGACCAGGCAGGTAAATCATCATTAGCAAAATGCCATAACTAAGGCATAAAGCAAAATATACTACTACTATTATTAAAGTGATAATGCTACTGTAGGAAGAATTTTAAACTACCATTTGATAAGTTCATGTTTATAAATACTACTTTTTGAAAAGCTGACTTCCCTTTTTTTCCCCTTACAGATAAGAAACAAGATGGAACTGTTGAGAACCGCAACAAAGGTAAACTTAGAAGCATTATACTACCAAGTAGTTGGCTGCCTTTTAGGAATTTAGGAATGCAATTGCTTTATGTAAAAAACCTCAACCTGCCTAACGTCTCTTCTGCTTACCTTCTTGGTTCAAAAACAGCATCTCTAATAAGACATGAAGCGGTCAACAATGTATCTTAGCCACCACATCGCTAATAATGGGGTCAACAAAGGCTATGGTTTTTGAAGTAGTTGGGGGGTCTATTGCCAAAGCCTTGTGACTTATCTACATGGCTTGATCAGGGTAAATATGTTTCCTGATAGTTACCTTTTTGCAAAATCACCCTTAGGATATTTGACTCCACCCAGTTTTTAGCTGATCTATCCTTTGCTACTTTTCATAAATCACCTGCCTATTTCTTGCGCTCTGACCATATACTCTTCCCAGCCTATGAATGATCTTCCTTGGGTGTAACCCACTGTCACCCTGCAGCCGCTGAGCATTATTAGAAGAATTTGGGCTGGTTTCACACATCCAAAATTCATGAGAAACACCTTACCTGTACTTTCTATTCTGTTCATCAGCCCTTCTCTGATCTTAATCTCATTTCTGTACACCTAATAATCACAAAGAGTTTTCCAAACCTTTTTTAAATTGTATTTTTTAAATTCTGAATAGAAGCACCAGAAAAGAGCTTTTTTCATATATACAGGAGGATTATACATGAAGCCAGGAGTTTCTGCTTCATATCATTTAATTCCACACATTTCTTTGGAAATTTCCTTCTTTCTTCTTCTGAACTTCTTTCTGTAGATTTTTGTAAACTGCTTCAGTGGCCCTCTGAAGAAATCCCTATTGTTATTCCTCCTCCCCAATTAAAAAAAGGAAGGAAAAAAAAACTTAAATTCCTACAGTGGACATTTCCACAAACAAAAGTCTCTGTATTTTGAGGCCAACCGTCTCTGACTGCACGGGAGTACAGACTTTATCGTAAGGCCCTCAGTGACTACACGTTACTTTGGTCAGTGTTTGGGAGTCTTTGAGAGTTGTTTTTCTGTACAGTGTTGTCATTGCCTAAATTGTTCTCCTGGTTCTACTCCATTATCTGCATCAGATCATATTCCAAAGATTCTGTGAAATTATCTCTTTCATCATTTCTGATGGCACCGTGCTGTTCCATCACATTCATATATCATGGTTTCTTCAGACATTCTAAAATTGAGGGGACCCCCTAGATGGTAGTCCCTTTGACTTTTTCCCCTGCCTTTAATCCCTTCTTCAAGATCAGATGTTTGTTTTGCTTTGTCTATTTATTCTCCAGTATTATCTTCCCTTTGACCCCCTCTTCCTATCCTGACCTGTTCCTCTATTGAATGTGGTGTATTTCTATACCAAACTTTGAATGTATTTGCTGTGTTTTGCAGTGGTTAGCCTTGTTTGGCTGCGATTTGAGGTTCCATGCTGACCTCTGTCTCCTGGAGTTGAGGCCCCTTGATCTTTGAGATTCAGACTGCTAGGGACCTTGGCATCCTGAGTGTCCTGGTCTGAGCGCTGCTGCTCCTGCATGGGCTGCTGCTTCACCTGATGGCTTCCAGCATCCCCCACTGTGGCTTTACAACCATTCTGGGGCTCTGCCAGAGAGCCCTGCAGGGTACACGTGTCTTTGGCTCATCCTTGGTCATGCTGGGAGGCTGCTGGCTTGCTTGCCTGAGCTGGCTCTGGCTTTGCTGGCAGTTCCTTTTCCTTTTGCCTGCAGACTTCTGGCTGACTTTTGTGTAGTGCTATGTAGGAATAAATCACTTCCTGTAGCATCTCACTGGTTTTTTTTGGTTACTATTAGCCTAGTGCAATGTTTAGGTTTTTGCATGAGGGGGCAAGGGTCAGCTGATCTGCTTGCCTTCTTTCAGGTTGCCATATTGGTTTCATCTCTCAGATCTTTTCTTTTCCAGCCATTCCTTCAGCACCCTTGTTTAGAAGAGGAAACTTAACATCCTAATTCACAGAGATTTGGGTCAGAATACGTAACCTCCCTAAGCTTCCCTCTGTCATCCCACAAACTCTCTCGTTGTCCAAATTCTTTGTCTTTCTTCCCTACGGTCACGGTGGAATTGCTGCTACTGACTCAGGATACACCCTTTCTTGTGCGCTTGATCTCATGACTTCCTTTTCCCTACATTGCATTTTAAATTATTTACTCTTCTCTGGCTCCTACTCATCTACTTATAACATGCTTTGTTCTCTGTGGTCCTAAGAAGGAAGGTCTTCCTTTGACCCCATCCAGCTATTCCTTTTCACTTATATTTCTACTTCCTCACTCCCCATTTTCTTCTCAGCCCCCTGCAAATGGATGTTTACCCTGACCAATCTTATAAAACTGCTTTGTGGTCACCTAATTGCCAAGTCCAATAGACTTTTAAAAATTCTTAATCCTCCTTGGCACCTCTCTAGCTTATTAATACTAAATATGTTGACTCCTTTCTATTGGAAATTCCTTCCACTGTCAATGGTATAGTCTCCTAGTCAGTTACCTCCCCAGTCTGGACTTCTGTCTCCTCCTTTTCTTCATTGTTTCTTAACAGTAGTGTTCTTTTAGGGTCTGTCCCTATCTCTCGGTGTTCCCACCCTTGGTGTGATCTTTGATTTTGGTGTCTGTCCTATCCAGTCAATTACCCAGAGGAACTAGGGAGTCTCACACTGGAGACAAGAAGGTTGAAGTGGGATGGGGGTAGTATCTTCGGGTAGTTCAGGGGCTGTTTTGTAGCCTCTGAGGACAGAACTGGGAACAACAGGTAGAAAGCAAATTAAGGCTTAATGTAAGCAATAGCTTTTAACAAAACTACCTAATAGAAAGGACCTTAGTTGGGTTCCCTCTGCCTAGAAGTCTGTGAGCAAAGGCCAGGGGGCCATTTTGTATGCTGTAGAGATAATTCTTCCAGGTCTAGTTTGACCAGATGGCCCCTGAGGGACAACAGGTGAAAGTCTCAGAAAGGCAAATTTGGGCTTAAAGGGGAAGGAACTGACTCTGGTGCATTCTACCTCATGGAGGTCTTTAAGCAGAAAATGCTGGATATGAGTTAAATTAGGTGGCCATGGGAGTCATTGCAGACTCTGAAATTCTCTGATTTTATAGTAGCTGCCAGAATAATGCATAGGTAAGGTGACTGTCACCCCTCTGCTAAAAAAAATCCTTCAGTGTCTATTGGCTGTCACATCAGGTTCATATTCTTTACCTCATTATTCAGAGCCCTCTATTACCTGGTACCATATAGTCCTCCCAACCTTGATTTCTATTATTTTCCTCCATTCATTATACATCTTAGCTAAACATGGGGCAAGTCTGCCTTCTGAACATTCACTACTAATATTGCTTCATTTGATCATTCCTGTATATTTTTCATGCCTGTGTGCCTTTACTGAGTCTCCCTTTGCTTCTTGAGACCCATCACTTCCTGTAGGTACCCTGTTCTCATTTAAATTTCTTTCCCTCACCCTGGTAATGGCCTTTTTCCTTAGGACTTACAGATATCATTTTGCTTTGTAATACTCTAATATGCTTAAATAATATTTGTGTTTTATTCTATTAGACTTCAATAGGATGCTAATCAAGTGTTTAGGGAGCTGGGGCAGGGGAATGTTATCTTATTAGACTTGGATTCCTTGAGGGCCGGATCTCATCCAAATGTATCTTTCCTGGTGGCTTACACAATATTCTGCAGATAATAGTTGCATAATAAATGTCCATTTATTGTATTTGGTACAGGGAGAGTGTTATCAATCAGAACTCAAGCATTTTCTAGATTTCTGCAGATTAGAAGAAATAAATAAAAATTCTATTAAGACATAAATCTTATCAGTAATATAATGCTTTTTAAATGTATGTTTGTTTTTAATCTTAGCAAAGGCTCAGGATGGTGCAGCCATGGAAATGCAGCCATTGAAGAGTGAGGAAGGAGGAGATGGGGATGAAAAAGATAAAAAGAAAGCAAACTTGCCAAAGAAAGAAAAGTCAGTTTTACAAGGGAAACTCACAAAATTGGCAGTTCAGATTGGAAAAGCAGGTATGAAGTAATGGAAAAAATAAGATTTTTTAAAAATGATTTGTTTTTTTTTTTTTCCTGTTAAAGATTGCTTGTTTCACTTACTTATTGGAGCCAAAGTTCTATGTTGAGGGTATGAATAAAAAGTCATTTAGAAAGGCTATGCCTCTTAAACTCATTTTATTTTTCTTCGGCTGGAGGCGATAGCCAAGTATAAGGTATCTCAGAATTCTCAGTGTACCTGTGTAGGCACTTTAATTATATTGAATTCAAATAAGATTTCACCATTACTTTTTTTCTGCTTAGTTTGTAACTGAGACCCAACTTCGCATAATGGCTGGAGTTAAGGAAGACTGGGTTTAAGCCCTGCCTCTGAGACACAGTGGTAATGTGATGACGAGCTTCATTTTCAGTGCCCAAGCCACCCTTTTAAGGCTTTTGTGGCTGATGTGCACCATAGACCTAGAGCTGGCAGCAGAATGCACCTCAGAAAGGCAGTCACTACAACCTGCTCTCCTCACCATGACATGGCTTTGGTCCTGTCCCCTCTCCCTTGCCACTCCCGCTGCCCATACTGGGCCAATGTTGGCATGGAGCTAAAACTGCCATTTCAGTCCCTGATTTGGACACATTGGTTTATACCATGGTAACACACTGTATTCCCAGCCCCTGTTATAACCCTGAAAATATTCAATATCAAGAGAGAGACCAGATTAAAGCAGATGGATGTTTAATGCAAAACCATCATAGCATCATCTTTGAATATGAATAGTGCATGAGTCATTTGAATAGTGCTTTGGGGTTAAAAAAGCATTTTTTTCTTCGGGAACTCACTGTTTAGAAGGAAACAGCTGCCATCTAATTTATATAAATGTGTATGGTTGGGTGCAGAGTTTTAAATTCAGTTTTAAATGAAAGGATGAATTTGAACTGGAGACTTGGATCTAAGAGATTTCATATCACCTAAATATGTGACTTACCTTTTAATGATATGCTAATGAATCACAGCCTGGCTTTATTTTTTTTTCTTTACAAAAAGCCTAAAATTCTACTTTGGAGCAAAGTAGTCTTAAGCATACATAAGATATGTAATCATTTGTGTTTGTACTAACAGTAATGGCATACAAGTTATCTAAAATTACAAATAAATTGTACATGTACAACTCTGTGTACTGAAATGTATTTCAATATAGAATTTTCTCAATTAAGAGTTCCTAGCTTATAAAGTAATGAAGTTATCTGGGAAACTTAATTTCAGGATCTGCAAAGAAATTTAGCTTTATCATACATTTCTGCCATCGTATTCCTCCCACTTTAGTGACTTAATGCATGATGGAGAGATGTAAAACTGCATACTTTTGCTGCGCTTGTCTCTCCAGGCTGTTTCCTGTATCATTGCTTTTTGGAAAACAGAAGAGATAAGTGATTTGCGTTAGGGAATTTCTCCCCTTCCCATTTTACTCTTTCTAAGCATTTTATGAAGTACAAATAAACTGTGAGCAAATCAGTAGAAGTTTGAGAAAATAGGTTAGGATGGTTTCAAGCTTTGAAGTTTAACTTCCACATCATAGGGTGAACTTAGCGTAGAAAATCCATGTTAGAGATCAAGACATTAAAATGTCTTATTTCTTAAGTAATTCTGTAACCTTCTTCTTTTCAATGAAAGGGCTATTGATGTCTGCAATCACAGTTATCATCCTTGTGTTATATTTTGTAATTGACACATTCTGGGTTCAGAAACGACCGTGGCTTGCGGAATGTACACCCATTTATATACAATATTTTGTGAAATTCTTCATTATTGGAGTCACAGTCCTGGTGGTAGCAGTGCCAGAAGGTCTTCCGCTTGCAGTAACCATCTCACTTGCTTATTCTGTAAAGGTAAGTACTGCAGTAATGACTCAGTAATTGATTAATCTTCTAAAATTTATTTGTGGAAGACTCATCAATCGAGTTGGCCCTTTCTCTCTAGATTTTGAATCATAGGACTTGAACCTAGAGCTGCAGGAGGCCTTAAAGGTCACTTAGTCCAGTAGTTCTCAAAGTATGGTCCCTGGGCTGCTGGCAGTCCCCCCAAGACCCTTTCAGGGGGTCTACAAGGTCAAGACTTTCATAATAAGACCTTTAAGTTTTTCCAAATATGGTAAATAACAATAGTTATAATCCACATAAATATAAGCTCTTTGGGGGAGGGGTCCCCCTCAGTATTTTTTAAGATTGTACAAGGTCCTGACACTAAAAAGTTTGAGAAGCTCTAATATGGCCAACACTTTCTTCTCCTCCCACTCCCATTTAGCAGATTGGGTCCTGAGCCTTAGAGTGGTTATGACTAACCCAAGGTCAGTGGCAGAAGTTAGTAAGTTCCAATGACTTCCAAGTTCAGTGCTCTTTCCTCTGTGCTCCACTGTCTCCTTGTCACGTGGACTTGTATTTCGAAAGGGTTTTTGACTTCTCGAAATGCTTTTAGGAATCTGAGGACTTTGAATAAGGTGGCACTTTAATCTTGGGCTTTTTTCTTTTCATGTTGAACTGGACTCTTAATAATATATTTGGAAATATTTGGAAAATTCTGTGTTTCATCCAAAGCTTCATCATTTGAATGTTGTCCTAAGAGGTGAGGCAAGCATTGGATTTTCCCAGAACCTGCTCAGGTCTCCTCGGGGAGGTATTCTTGCCCCTCTGCCACAGAGTCATTACTGCATCAGAGCATTATAAAGGAACAACCTGAGGATGATAGAAACACCAAATTCCTCTCTACTAGTAAGAAAAAAGAATGTCTAGAATTGAAAAGATTTGCTTTAAAATTCCAGATTCATTCTTTACTTTTATTTCGGACCTTGTAACTGTCATGTTTTCCTGGTAGGTGTTCTTATAAAGCAACTTTGCTTCTTATCTTACGGAACCAAATGGGCTTGTAAAGTGTCATTTGCTAAAGATAAAGATCTATGTTGAAAGAATCCTTTTCTTCCCCTGATCTCCCCTAGCACCTGCTACCTCTTAACCAGTAATCATAATCCCCTTTGCATTGTAGTTAATTATGTCTTACCCCTACTTGATTGCACGTGCCAGATTATAAACAGGAATCCAGTCTCACTTACCTTTACATATTCCACAGTTACACACATTAGTGACACAAATATTTGATAAATTTTAAAGGATGAGTTGGAAAAAATCTTTGTAGCCTAAATTTTTTATTAGAAAAATGCTACACATATATTTGATACTTGAATAAATATCACTTTTTTCTCCTTAAATTTAAGTGATAACAATGTGCTGTATAAAGTATAAAGTAACTATAACTCCTGCCCTAGTGATTCTATAGTTTATAATATTCTAAAATGTTTATACTAAATCCTGACATGGGAGGAATCTCCCTTTGAAAAAAAATATTTAAATATGTTTATTCTTCTATTGCAATGAAATGAAAATGGCAAAGATGAATTGCAGGTGTAATTTAATTCTGTTCTACTTGGATATGAAAGTTCAATTATTAATTAAGGTTTAAGACTTCTGAGCTTTTAAACTAATCCCAGTGTTAGTCTGATGTACACAGTCATTAAGGAGATTGACTTTGTGGGTGATCAGGAAAAAAAAAGACAATTAATACTTGTTACTGAGTATCATGAAAGGAATTTAAAATAATTTTCCTTCAAAACAAGGCATTTTTATTACAGAGCTTTATATTAAGTATAGTTCCCATAATTATTCCAAGTTTTCTATGCTATTTTTCTTCATGGTGTATATGCCCTTATGTAATTTAACTTTTCCCCACCGATTAAACTTAACTGAATTCTGTATTATTTGTAAAGGTCATTCCTAGAAATTGTCATTAGTGTCTTCAGTAATTATTTGCTGTATGTACATTTGGGGGCCAAAGACTGAGATAGAAGAGAGGAAAATCCTGATTAATTAAGATTGGAAGATTTGAGTCATTCTTAATTCTCACAAAATAACTGATTATAACTTCTAAAATAAAATGTCCCATTCTGCCTAAATCACTACAACTTAATATGTATTCTGATTCTATTCAAAATTTTATTAATAAATTTGTAAGGTTCTGCAACCCCCTTTGACCTCAGCAAATCACATAACTGAATACGTTTTCTTAGATGTTTCACTGGTACCCCAAACTGAACTTAGCTTCTTCTATTAAAAAAACTTCCTCTTTTTCAAGCCCGTTCCCTCAACAATACAGCACTCACATTGCTCCCCATGAAACCTTCCTTTCCTAATTCACTGCCCTAATTGTCCTCTACTCGAAAAACCCACACCTCCTGACATGGGAGAAACTATCAAGGTTGTCCTTGAAGGCATATGCTGCCCTCCAGCTCTCTCTCACTCCTCCATTCTTCATAGGCCAACAATGGGTTCACTTTGCTCTGATTTCTGTTTTTTAAGGCCCAATTTGGGCATCATCTCCATTCTGGAAAAGGCGAAACTTCCCTCACTAGCTAAGTTAAAAGTGACCTAGCCAGCCCTCAATTTTCCAGCATATAGTACAGTCTGTTTCTATTACAGGATAAAGATTTTGGAATTTGAAGGGACCTTGAATGGGTTTCAGAAAAATCAACCTTTTATCTGGATTGTTCTAACAGCTTGCTGTTTATTCTCCTTACCTTTAGTCTTAACACACTCAACTAATCTATCCTTTAGATAATTACCCAGATGATCTTCCTAAGATCTAAGTGTGATCTCTGCCCCAAAACCCTTCTTTAGATCTCTATTGCCCTTAGGATGAAATACGAAGTCCCTAACCTGGCTTTCCCTCTCCCTCCAATATCTAACTATAGATTACATTTTCACATTATTCTCTTTGGGGCATGCTGTTTTCCAGCCAACTAAACTAACTGTTCCCTGAACGTGACATTTTGTCTGTGACCTCAGTGAAGGCACAAGGCTAGGTCTGCTTCTTGGAAGGCAGTTCTTCCTCAGCTCCTGCAGACTTTTCAGACTTCTGTCTTTCTCTGAGCCTTAGACCAAGCTTCACAATGAAGTGATTTCTGATTGCTCTTCCATTCCCCTCTCCAACCCTTCCCTTCACTGTTAGAATATAAGTTCCTTGAGGGCAGCGATTATTAATTATATTGGGGTTTTAGGACCCTTGGCTCCTAGCAGCAAGCCTTTCATATACCAGGCAATAATTATTGAAAATAAATGTTTCATTAAATGAATAAGAAGACTTAGAATATAATATATAAATGCCTTTCTTTTAAGTTCTAATTGCTAACTAGCTGGATATCGAATGACTTCATACAAGGACAGTTAGCACAAACATTTGGTATTGTGCAGCTGCACCCTTTTCTATTTTAGGTAAAAAAAAAATAAAGCCGAATTACAATATCACCATAGCAGCATACTCCTTCCAGGTGCTTGGTTTTTGGTTTAATGTAATTCTTTACAGGAAATTACTTTGTAGAGTTCATAAAGTGATATGAATTTGTACATGTGTGCTTCTTTTCTCCGCTGTGTTCAGGGTCATTGATATACACAATTAAATAAAATACAGGGTTAAGATAACGAGAGGAAGGTAGGTTTTTAGGTAGTAGCAAATGATGGATGCAACAAAAACCAAGGATTTCATATAATATTCCTCAGTAGGCCAGGTCACCTTGTCATGTTGTAGTGTTAAATTAAAGTTTTGCCGTGTTATGTGATAATGTGTACTTAGGAATATTAAACATGACTGTGTTTAGTTTTCATTTTTGAAATGTAATGATGAATTTGTAAGTAACTAAATTTTTTCTTCTCATTTTTTACTGTATAGAAAATGATGAAAGATAATAACCTAGTAAGGCATCTGGATGCTTGTGAAACAATGGGAAATGCAACAGCCATTTGCTCAGATAAAACAGGGACACTGACCATGAATAGAATGACAGTTGTCCAAGCTTACATAAATGAAAAGCATTACAGAAAAGTTCCTGATCCTGATGCTATTCCAGCAAGCATTTTGTCCTGTCTTGTAACTGGAATTTCTGTGAATTGTGCTTATACATCAAAAATATTGGTAAGACTTATTATATACACACATATATAATATACATGGTGGGTGTGGGGGTGTGTGTGGGGGGGGGGGGGTGTGATATTCTTAAAAGTGAATTTTCAGATATGTTTTACACTAAGCCTAATGATCCAGGCTAATGTCACATTAATGGGATTATAAATGTAGTGGTGGAAGGGACCTTAGAAGTCATCGAACCCTACTCCCTTAGTGGTAAATAAAATGCTGCCATGAGAACTTTATGAATTATCATTTAAATGTTTTGAGAACTTGATAGCCCTGCTTTCTTATAATTTAAAGACAAGTAAATATGTAATGTGTTCATTAGTCTTTTGATGGGTTTGTTCTCATAAATCAGAATATATTTTCCATTATATATATTGCTAATTTCTCAACCTTTATTTTTAGCTTCACCTGTTAAAACAATTGTTGTTTGATCAGTTTAGTTTCTCATCAGTTTTTTTCCTAAATAGCTTTATGTAAAGCTCAATTCTTAATTATCTAAAGACTAAGATTTGTTTTTTACGAAAATTTTATATTCAGCCAGAAGTAAATTATTTAGAAGAAAAATGCATTAAAAACTCACTGTAATGAAAATTGCTACATTATTTTCTTTAATATAAATCTGTCTTAGACCTTATATCATTTCCATAAACTGGCTCTTGGACACAGTAAAGTACAAATAATTCACCTTCCCAAGGAGTCATTTAACTTAATAATGCAAAACACTAATTTACTTTTTTTGGGGGGGGGGGCTAGGCAGTGGGGTTAAGTGACTTGCCCAGGGTCACACAGCTAGTAAGTGTTATGTGTCTGAGGCCAGATTTGAACTCCGGTCCTCCTGACTCCAGGGCTGGTGCTCTATCCATTGCACCACCTAGCTCCCCCCCCCCCCCCAATTTACTTTTAAAACATCCTCTTTCCATATTATTTCAATATAAAAATGTAAACAAAGTTATTATGCAGACTGGGAGTGATAGACTGAAGTACCAAAGATGTGTTCCACTCAGCCCTGACACTTGCTAGCAGTTTCAGCTTCTAAAAGGAGTCTGAGTAAGGTGTTGCTTTATTGCCTGTCAAATTGTTTTACTAAATGATATTCCAAGTAAGATGCTTATCTTGTGCATATTTAAATGAAATTTATTATAAATTTGTAAATTCATATGGTATTCTATAGCAACTTTGGTATTCCCTGAACATTTGAGAACTTTTTTGACATAGGCTTTTGTAATTTTTTTTTAAATAATAACCTTTTATGTTTTCTTCAGTAAAGAAACAAAGATATTTAATGAAACTAAGTTTTGATTTTTTTTCTTCTCTTACAGCCACCAGAGAGAGAAGGTGGATTACCACGTCATGTTGGCAATAAAACTGAATGTGCCCTGCTGGGACTTGTTTTGGATTTAAAACGAGATTATCAGGATGTAAGGAATGAAATCCCTGAAGAAGCTCTGTACAAAGTCTACACATTCAACTCGGTTAGGAAATCCATGAGCACTGTCTTGAAAAATTCAGATGGAAGCTACAGAATATTCAGCAAGGGCGCGTCAGAGATCATTCTTAAAAAGTAAGACCAGTACGGAATTAATCAACTACTGATTATGATGATGTGATGTAATGTGAATTACTGGGTTGGTGTTATATGTGTACATTGGTTATTTGATGAAACCACAAAGCTATTACCTATGTCTCAGTACGTTATTATTCGTTTATCCATAAATTTACTATACTTTGTATGGTCCATACCAGAGGTGTCAAACATATGACCCTTAATAATCCTGAGAGTGTCCCAAACCAGATTAAAATGTAACTGGGGAATATTTAATAAAATAAATACAGTAGAACCCAGATAACATTACTGTGTGGTTTTCTAAGTCAATATGCACCCACAGAGATCTTTATGTACAGTTTAGTGGCCCCCATATGTATTTGAGTTTGGCACCAATGGTCTTTATTTATAAATGCTTCTATCCGTTTCTGATATGAAATGGAAGGGGTCAGCCAGCATTGCATTGGTGATCTCCTCTTAGTTAGACATCCACATTTGGAATTCACCTTTCTACCTAAGCTGCTATTTGAAGATACAGCGATAGAATTTAAGACTATTGAGAAGATAAGATAAACCTGACTCGTTATTGTGGAAGAAATATAAGCTGGAGACCTTAAAGTTTTAAAGGCACTCTTGATCAATTTTCAGTAATACTTCAAAGAGGGAAACATTTCAGAAAAAGAAAATCAGTATCATTACCAGAAAAGCTTCTGAGAAGATGTTAGTTACCCATCCTTATGTCTATTTCTTTCCTCTCTCTAAATTTGAGGTTGTTTTGTTCATACATGTAAAAAAGAGTGAAACTATCCCCAGACAGTTAAAGAAACATCTATAAAATATACAGAGTTAGAGAAGGGTAGGCCATGCATGCAACACACACACACACACACACACACACACACACACACACACTCCTGCTATAACTATTGTTTGTTGATTGAAAAATCAGCAAATACAGCAAAGTATAGCTTTAAAGACTTCCAAAAAGATGTCTCCCATGCATGTGGTAAAGTCGTACAAAATTCTGTGACAGATGAAAGCATGGTGATATCCTCTCCCCCCGTTTTTGACATATGATTAACATTTATGTACTGAAATCATGGGAAAAGTCCTGAACAAAGTCCAAATAAATGAGGACTCTATCAGTGGAGAAGTTGCTTCACATGATGCCTTGCTTGTACACCAATCCATAAAGATTTTTATGGAAACTGAAGCTTAGGAGATAAGCCTAAGAGTTACTTAATACTTCTAGAAAGATTTGAAATTAGATTTGAATTCAGATCATCCTAACTCCAGGGCCAGTGCTCTTATCATTAGGAGATTGTAACTGCATATAATAAATGTTTATTTAAGTTGCATGTACTTGCATGCTCCTATTTGGGGTGATACTGTGCTGATTTCATTTTGTCTTGAAGCCCCTATAAGGCCTCCTCAATGAAATCTGTGGTCACTTGAAAGAAATCAGCTTAGCTTTCCCCTATGGCAAATAGAATTGGATTGAAGCTATGGGTAGGGTATATGGTATTTGCATGTGAGAAATTGGCACAAAGGACATCATCATGGTATTGAGTAGAAAGAATTATAGATAGATTCACAGAGGACTTGAGTTCTAATCTCCCCTTGACATTGTCAGCCTCCATGGCATCTGCAAAGTGGGAATAACCACGATAAACACAGGTGCAACAAGATGTAGTAGGTAGCAGACTGGCCTCAGGCAAACCCAGCTCCTGCTGCTTGCCAGCTGTGTGACCCTGGGCCAGGGGTAATTCCCTCAGTACTATAAGCTATAGAGCTGGTGTCAGTCTGCAGGGTAGAGGGAGTTCCCTCCCACCAATTAAATCACATATGTGAGAAAACAAAAAAGGCACTTTATTGCCCAGGGTTGTTGAGATTTGTAAAAGGCCTTTTATGTTTTACTTCATTTGATCAACTGATATTACTACGTATGACTGGGAAAGGAGGTGCTCTGGTTGTGTAGCGTGAGGAGTATTGGCTGCATTGATAGCCTGAGTGCGGCGCTGATAACCCAGAACTATCAAAAGGCCTCTAACATTCCTACAAGAGCACCCCGGGATGAGAACTTTGAGGTGCCCCGCTGAAGGGGGGCCTGCATGAAGTACATCATCCAAATGAAGTGTTAATGACCCAAAACTCTCTTAAGAAAAACTCATTTCTATTTTATCATCACGTTAAAGTCAGATCTTTGTGTGTGAGACAAACATCCGTGTGTCACATAGACATTCCAAACATTTCACAGAAATCATGCTGTGTCTCTAGATTCTACATCTATATGTACACGTGAGCATACAGAGATGTGCTTACCTTTATATGCTGTATAGAGATTTAAGAGGCAGTAGGCCATAGAATGGAGAGGCAGTGCTGGATCTGGAATCAGGAAGGCTGTATGTGCATCCTGCCTTAGATCCTACACTGGATAATCCTGAGCAAGTCCTTTATTGTAGCACCTGCCTTGCCTAGGTTATTTTGGTTTAACATAATTCTTTGCAACGATGTTGATAGAAAGCATTTTGGAATCTTTAACACACTGTAGAAGTGTTCGTTATGTTAAGCTGCTGTGGTAGAACACTGTAGCTAAGAGCTGTCATCAATAACAGTTATCTTTGGCCCAAAAGTGATCACTCATCTTTTGTACTTTTATATTTACATCATTGAGTGATATTATATTAGATAATTCTTAGTTCACGTCAAGTCTGTTGCAAGTTCCTGTTCCTCATATAAACAGTTTTTTTCTTTTGTGTGGTGGGCTTGTCTACTGGCATCTTACTTAAATCATAGAAAATCACAAAGGGAAATGGGGTTAAAATATCTTTGCTGCCAAATTTTGTAAAAAACCAGTTTTTCCTTTTGTATTTTATACAAGTTGGTATGAAGCATTTTTCTTTTAAAAAAAAATCATCTTAAGTACAAATGTTGCAAGTCATGGATTACTTTTTTTTTGGAGGGGGGGTCCTCATTCAAGAGTATGGTTTACCAATGAGCCTACTGAGAAAAACTGATAGAATTAAATAGAATAAAATTCTATCTATCTATCTGTTTATCTACTTATTAATTTTTAAGGTAAAGGCTGCTGATGTGTGCCCTGGGACACTTACATAATTTCCCCTCATTGTAGAATGAATACTGCATTTTTACTAGTTAATTTCCACCTTTTATATCTACACTGTCATCTAGGGACAGATAAGATCCATAATAGTAGGGGTACATTCACTTTTTAAAAAATTATTCTTTGTTCTAAACTTGACAAGTACTCACAAACATCAACATTTCTATATACAAAAAAGAACAGACTCTTGCTTGTAGCTTGTTTTTTTAAAATTATAATAAATTCAGCACATTAGTTTCAAAATTGTCCCATTTGACTGGGCCTCCATTTAAATTTCTTTTCTTTGCCTTTTTTAAATGTTTCAGTGACTTTCTGGCATCATCTTCACTAGCCATTATCTCTTCTCTCCAAAACCTCATCCTTCTCCTCCCCTGCATCCCACCCTGCTAAATAAACCATTCCCTGTAACAAGTGAGCACAGATAAGCAAAACCAATTCATGTGTTGGCTATGTCCAAAAACTTATGTCTCATTCTGCATCTCTGGCTCTTACAGGACGCAGATAGTATGCTTCATTGTTGGTCTTCATTGTATGCAACATAGTCTTAAGTGTTTCAGGGTTCTTTACAGTAACAGCCCATGTGGAAAAGGGACCAGCCATCTTGACCAAATGTGGACCAGCTGCTGCCAGCAGGCAAGCAGCCTAATTGAAGCAGAAAGCCACCTTGAGGGAGAAAAAAAGAGATGGCATGGCCCAGTTGAGTCATACTTCTACCACTCGTTCCCCAGATCCCAGTGGAGATAGCCTTGGACCGAGAGGCCAGAAGCCTTCGGGGCAGTGCCCCCAGACTACAACCTTTGCTTCTAGGCTAGCACAGAGAGCTGTAATTGAGGAGAGCAACCCTTCAGGGGAATAAACCCACCATCTTCAACACCATCACCACCAACCAGTGATCATTTGTCATCGTTGGGCAGGATCAGCAGCACCCCTGCGAGACCGCTGGTCATGCCTTCTGTTTAAGAGAAATAGCTTTCCTGAAGAAGGAGGCAGCCATCCCCGCCAATCATTGACCAGTTTCTACCAATAGGACAGATGAGTCAGTCTGACTAAAGCCTCAGAGCAGAGAAGAAACAGAAGGCAGCTTGTGCTCGGAATGTCCAGCCACCACCACCACCTCCCTTCAGACACGAGGAGAGATGGACCAAGGGCCTGAGCCAGAGAGCCCTGGAGACCATCTACGTGCTTCCAGTCTACCCCTGTAGCCATCCTTAGCATCCAGAGCTACTGTATCTGGAGAAGAGAAAGTGCTTACTCTCAGTGTCTGTGGTTTTATCAGAGGAAATAACATGAAAGAAGATAAAGCACTGTCTGCCTTGCTTTTCCACCTGAGGAATCATGGGGCTTTGGCCGCTAACACCTCTGTGTTCTTTCTTTTTAGAGAAACAGGCATAGACTGCCTTCATTTTACATTTAGATACCTAGCACTTCGCACAGTGTTTTGTACATAGTACATGCTTAATAAATGCTTTTTTTCATTTGTTCATTCTTTTCAGTGTTGTAGCCATAGAAGTTATTCACTTGGTTCTGCACATTTCACTCTTCCTAAGTTTGTCTGACTTCATCCCTTTCATCATTTCTTACAGTGTGATGATAAGCTATTGCATGCATATACACAACTTGTTAAGCCATTCCTTGAAGGTCACTCCCTAGGACTCCACAATCACAATGGCTCAAAGCCCTCAGTTCAGAAGATTTCAAATAGTTAGGCAGAGGTTTGACTCTGGACATAAGCCAGAGAAGTGGTGATGAAGGTGAAAACCAAGTAACCAGAAACACGAAGGTGAAGAGGCAGAAGGGTCTGTGAGTAGACAGGCCCCTGGCAGTGAGGGAAGAACAGGCCTTTTCTTGGGATGTCTCTCTGCTTTGGAAGGGCTGAGCACACTCGGCAGTGGTTTCTGCAGGACATTCTCTCCTGGATCCATCTCACCTGGCTCTGCATGCCCCCTTCCCACCTTCTTGTCATCCTTTCATTGGTTTTTCTGCCACCCTCAAAAGTCCCCTGAGTCCCAGCTAGCCAGATGATTTGATAAAAGCCCCAGAAGGTATGACCCAGCGCCTCAGCAAACCAAGAATGATCATCCTCACCTGATAAAGAATGGTTCAGGGCAATTCTGGACCAGCTGGACTTGAAACCTCACCTGGCAAAATAATTCTCATCATCTTATGTTCTTTTCCAAATGACATGAAAGTGAATGAGCACTCACTCCCTCAATAAGGTACTATGGAAAGTAGAGCTCACTATTAGATTGACAAACATGGACAGTGGACAGTTTATTTTGCTTGGCAATACTTGGTTACTTACTGTTACTTGGGGCAGCTAGGTGGTGCAGTGGATAGAGCACTAGGCCTGGAGTCAGGAAGACTCATCTTCCTTGGTTCAAATCTGGCCTCAGAAATTTATTGGCTGTGTGACCCTGAATAAGTCACTTCACCCTCTTCGTCTCAGTTTCCTCATCTGTAAATGAGCTGTAGAAGGAAATGGCATACCACTCCAGTATCTCTGTCAAGAAAACCCCAAATGGGGTCACAGAGAATTGGACGTGACTGAAAACGACTGAACAACAACAAAACTTGGTTACAGTGAGGTGGGGGGACACATCAGTAAGAAGTGTCAGTGATATAAACAGAGCATCTCTTGTAGAAAACAAACTTCAGTCAGAAAAAAACTGACTTAAACAGTATTGCTTGGAGAGCCTTGCAGAATCCCAGGCCCCAGGATATTTCAAGCAAGCTCAAATTGAAACCAATTTCAGAAAAGGATAGAATTCCAGAAGTCTGAAGATACCTTAGAAATGATCAGTTTATGGGTGAAAAAGCTGATCCTCGGAAATCTTGAGTGATTTGTCCCAAGGTCACATAGCTAGTTAATGGCTTAACACATTGCTTAAAAGTTTACCCAGCATACAGGATTTGGTTTTTATCTTTATTTATTTGTGACTCTTTTATATTTCTTTGCAGATGCTTCAAAATCTTGAGTGCTAATGGTGAAGCAAAGGTATTCAGACCAAGAGACCGGGATGATATTGTTAAAACTGTGATTGAACCCATGGCATCTGAAGGACTAAGAACTATATGTCTTGCATTCAGAGATTTCCCAGCAGGAGAACCTGAACCAGAGTGGGATAACGAGAACGATATTGTCACAGGCCTAACATGCATTGCTGTTGTAGGGATAGAAGATCCTGTGAGACCCGAGGTAGAGAATGCTTCTGTCAGTTCAGTTCACCTGCCTCTTAGGGGGAAAATTTAAGAGTATGATAGCATCATCAGTTTTTAAGTGAATTTTGGGAGTATGACCATTCAAAGCTCTTATTTCTTTGGAGTCAGGCAAAGGATGGTTTGGAAATTGTTGGTAAAAAGTTCCAGCTTTTAAAGATGTTGATGTGTTTTCAAAGCCTTAGGCAGATTGCTTCTTTTTGAGGTGACTGATGATACACATATACTTCTTACCATACTCAGGTTATTTCTTGTATTCATGGGTGTTATTCCTTGAGTTATGAGTACATATAGATACTGTTGACTCTTCCCCCCTCCCCCACCAGTTCTTTGTCAAGGAAAACCATTCTAAGGACTTCCCCTTTAGACGAAATTGAAAGCTTGTAAAGTTTTACAGGTGGAGGCGATCTTTGCCTGCTTTGCCCTTTACGATGATGGTCCGCTGCTAACATGCTCTTCATATTAGGATGAAACATTGAAGTTTATTTGAATCTATTTAGCATTTCAGAATGAAAGTTCTTCAGTTTTTTTTACAGAGTGTATTTTTAACATGAAAAGTTTTCTCCATGTGGATTGCTTGTTTTACCATCTTAGGATATGCGAATTGGGTATGTTACTAGGTGAAAGGAAAGGATAGTTCCATTCTTCATAAATGAATTATTTATGAGATTTTAATTCCAAAGCTGTGTCTTCCTTCTCTACCTACCCAGCATGTTCTGGGTGGGATTACTACTAATTATTTTCTGAGGCAATGCAAATTAATTGCATATTTTATCCTATTTTTTTTTCATCTTAGGTGATCAAGAAGGTAAATATGCAACAACAACCCCCCAAAAATTATTTATCTTCAGAAGCTAAATACAGATGACTCTGATTATCTGTTTTGCTTTACTTTTTATTTGTTTTACTGTTTTATTCTACTTTACTGATATAGATCATCAAATTTGAACACTGTCAAAGATTAACCAGTGTAACCATTCACATATATGATCTCTAAGCTAGACCACAACACATGGAAAATCCCTAGGAGTCAATCTCATTTAAGTTTTAAAATTTATAAGTCAGCTAAAATCAGGGCATTTAAAGCCAGCATCTTGAAGAACTAATTATTCTGTATTACGAAATTAAGGTTTTATGTAGTGATTAGTTTTAAATTTTCATTATTTGAGTGAGTGTTATAGCAGCAGAGACTTTTTTTAGATAAGTGAATTTTTGCTTAGAAAGTACAGCATGTTTTGTACATACTTAATGTGGGTATGTGCATGTGAGCACATACATACAGTTGATATACATGCACATTTTAATACTTCTGTGGACCTGTTATCTCATATGGAATTGGGTACTCCCTGTAATAGATTTGGCTACATGTATGTGTAATGATGAGATTCTTCCATGCAAACCAGGTACCAGAGGCAATAAGAAAATGCCAGCGGGCTGGAATTACTGTGCGGATGGTCACTGGTGATAATATTAATACTGCTCGTGCTATTGCTTCTAAATGTGGTATTTTGCATCCTGGGGAAGATTTCCTGTGCCTAGAAGGTAAAGATTTCAACAGAAGAATAAGGAATGAAAAAGGAGAGGTAGGTTGTTTGAGTCCATCACTGAATTTATTCTTAATAATTTTCAGCTAAGGCAATGATATTTGGCAAATATTTATTGCCATCTATGGGCAATACATTGTTTCAGGCACCATAGGGGTAGGAAAAATAAATGAGACATACCTCTGTCCTTGAGCATCTTCTATGCTAATATTAAGGGGAGGTAAAATATCTACACAAATAATGATATTATTTTGCCCAGCTGGTACTCTAGCTTATGTGGGAAGGTT